TACAGTACTGAGACTAGTTTGCATAGAAAAAGACTGACGGTCCTGGCTATATGAACTTGGCTGTTGATGCTGATTGAGATTATACATCCCTTATGGGTTCGGTAATTTTTCCTTAGAAATTTCATGATAAATTATAATACCCTCTACAAGGGAATACAAAGTTTAAATAATAAAATGTAGTATGAGGGTTCTCTCTGTACCTCGCCAAAGAAATAAAAAGGGTCATCAACTTTAATAGCAATAACGATAGAAGTTACTGCAGCAGAGTTCGCAACCATTGCCTACATTTATCTCACTAATTTTTACCTATTTTAATAGGTATTCATTTTTGTTATAAGAATTGACAAAACAATAATTCAAACAATTTATATATCTAGAAATAAACTTAATTTTTTTATTTATTTGTTATGCTGCTTACAAAGTGTTATAAATCTACAAACCTTTACGGTATTTTTCGCCAACGGTAAAATCAGTCATACCTTTGCCGGCCGTTCCACATGTACCAATACCGACTCTTCCACTGACATTATCCGGCGATGCAAATATACTGTTCACTTTCATGCCAGGTTTCTTTTGGTTTTTAGTAGTAAAACTAAGCCACTTATTTTTGTCTGACTCACGTTCTTCTTCCAAGTCTTTGAATCGTTGTTGCTTTTTTTGTTTTCGTTTTTTTAAATATTCCTTTTGATTTGGTCGGTGTCGCCTGCAAAAAAAAACAACAAACCAATTAAAATATAAAAGTTTAAATCATGTTACTGTGTTTTTTCATACTTATTAGAAGGAAATACTTCATTGCGGGTTGTGCGTTCACGCAATTCACTAAGAATAGTGGTAGAACGATTTTGGTAAGCTTCAAAGATTACACTCACTTCACCTATTCCAGTTATACCCTCGATAGTAGCATCATAGTATTGACCGTCCTCCGTCCATTTCGCTTGGCATTTGTCTCCAATTTTCCATACCTTGGCGGATGTTACCAATTTTTCAGCTTCTAAAAGAGCAGCTTCTATTTCGTCAAAGTAATTTGACGACGCTGTTTTGGAGGAAGATGGTTCTACGTACGAGGATTTTCGCTGCTCTTCCAATTGTGTTTTTATTAAGTCTCGTGTGAGTTTGATGACCTCTTCTAGATCGTCCTTTAATTTTAAGAGTTCGTCATTCCTTGGATCTGTTTGCAAGGCAGCTTCAACCTACAGAAAAAAGGGACAAAACTTATCGAGTGCGTACATGTAAGTTTGTGCTACAGGAAAATTATAAGCACAAAAATCATAATATTCTCAGTAAAGTCAATACTTATACTTATGTATGAGTGCCTATGTACATATGATTTTAACGTATGTGCATTTACATACAAATGCTCAATAAAATGGTACGCAGGTGTTGATAAAACCATACACACATATACATGTTTAAAAACACCTGCCGTTTAATTACTGCATTCCCTAAAATGTATATGACACAATACTCACTTGCTGCAATTGGCATTTGTAATTTTGTAAATCGTCTGCCATAGTAATGAATATGTTGCAGTTTCATAAAAAACACTATTTCTGGTTTATAGCACAAATGATGGAACAATACTCTAGGACTGCTCTATATACTTATCGAAACTTATTAATATATCGATATATTGAACTATTTAATGGGTAATTCGGTAGTTCTTCGTTTTAGGGCTGTTTAAAGCCGGATGATAAGCGATAGTCAATTTGTACATATTTTTAAAATAATATTTCAAATTATTTTAAAGAACATAAATACAGTTTTAAGATTCTGTAAATTATGTAAAATGGAAGTATAATTAACATATTAATTTTTTTATATATTATTTTTGAAATGTATAGCGTAATTTATTGGCTTACATTTATTACAAAATATTCAAGTTAAATTTACAATTACATTAATATTTAATTATTCCAAACAAAATATTGCAAATGAAAACGGTATTTTCGAGTTAAAGTTTCATAAATATTAAATACAACCACTAACCAAATAACATATAGACTAGTCAAACCGTATATTTCGTGGTGACAATCGTTTTTTTTGCGGCTGGTCCAAAGTCGCCTTCGTTTTTGTTCGGGTTCGAGACATATACTTTTGAGAATAATTGAATTTGTGGGCATTTTTGCCTGTGCGGACACATACACACACAAACATTTAAACGGTACATAGACAAATTGAAAGAGTACTAAGAGTAAGCCAAAGCAGTTTCCTGTAGAGCGAGCGAGTTAAAAAGACAGCGTTGCCGTTCCACGACACAGGCCATATGTATTCTTACTCTCTTGCTGTGAGAGCTTTCGGGCATGTCTCGAACCCGAACAAAAACGAAGACGACTTTGGACCAGCCGCAAAAAAATCGATTGTCACCACCAAATATACGGTTTGACCAGTCTATATGTTATTTGGTTGGTGATACAACATAGCCTCCGCGAAATTGAAAATTCAATAATTATGATTCGTCATCGATAGATAGCTGTCATCATTGGCTCATATAGAAGCGTTGACGATAGTTCGTTGATGCACGACACTCAACAATTGTGCCGCCACCGCGCTATCGGCAACTTTCAATTGCTTATAGTATATAAAAGGCGCAATAATAACAAAAGAGAAACTTACGTTAAATAGACACCGCCTCGACATATTTGTACATTCCTTATGTGTGGTGACTAAAACAAAGAATTACCGAATTACCCATTAAATATTAATACATTTCGATAGATAGGGAGCAGTCCTAGAGTGTTATTCCATCATTTGTGCTATAAACCAGATATTGTGTTTTTTTTTGAAACTGCAACGTATTCATTACTATGGCAGACGATTTACAAAATTACAAATGCCAATTGCAGCAAACGGCAGGTGTTTTTAAAAACGTATATGTGTGTATAGTTGTATCAACACCTGCGTACCATTTTATTGAGCATTTGTATATAAATGCACATACGTTAAGATTATATGTACATACATAGGCACTCATACATATGTATTTGTATTGACTTTATTAAGAATATTAAGATTTTTGTTTCCTGTAGCAGAAACATATGTCCGTACTCCATAAGTTTTGTCCCTTTTTTCTGTAGGTCGAAGCTGCCTTGCAAACAGATCCAAGGAATGACGAACTCTGAAAATTAAAGGACGATCTAGAAGAGGCCATCAAACTCATACGAGACTTAATAAAAACACAATTGCAAGAGCAGCGAAAATCCTCGAACGTAGAACCATCTTCTTCCACAACAGCGTCGTAAAATTACTTCGGAGAAATAGAAGCTGCTCTTTTAGAAGCTGAAAAATTGGTAACATTCGCCAAGGTATGGAAAATTGGAGACAAATGCCAAGTTACATACAAATGTGTAAGTTTTGTGTAAACCAAATATTAAACACCAAAGTAAAATTTCATTATATATTGCAGTTGTGATCTTTGCGACAAAGGTATTGTTGACGCCCATAAAATGCGATTCCATAAGAAACGCGAAAACCCGTTGCTTTATACTACTAGCCATACTAACCATACAATGCATAGACATGTCAAACAGCAAAGTCCGGCCTCAAAATCCAAACATTCAGTATGAAGCCGCATCTCGCTCAGCGCACAACGTCGCTGCGGCTGATGCTATTTCTTAACATATGTATGTTCGTTTTAAATCCTTACAGCCCAAATACATATGTGTGTATGCGTGTGCAGAGAGTTCCTCGCTCTCACTCGTTACTTTGCGCCCTTGTGTGCATCTCTTTCTCCCTGCATAGCTTCTCAAAAACCCCGAGATCTACAAACATACAGTGCCGCTCAACTGAATAGGTTTGACTTCTTTTTTAGACTTAGAACATAATATCTTCATAACGAGCACTCGGATTTAAACCAAATAAATTTTGTTAAGTAGAACGATCAATTATTTATAAAATACATAAGTTTTTTTTTGTTTGGTTTGGTTTTTATATTTTTTTTATTATATTTTCAAAAACATAGCTGAAAATCTACATCATTTTTGGCTCAAGTGAATCGGTTTGACCAACAAAACTATAAAAAAAAATTATTCACAGCAATATTTTATGGCACTTGGTAACTTAAATAATAAAAGACACTATTTCTGCATTATTTAATATTTGGTATGACCACCCTTATTCGTAATTATTTCAAACATTCAAGTTGATAAGGAATCGTAATATTTTTCAATTTCACTCAGTGAAACAGTTGACCAGGCTTTTTTAATCGCTTCAACCAGGGTCGCCGAATCTTGAAATTGTCTTCCCCCTTCATACACTCTCCTGGATAAAAGTCCCCAAATGTTCTCGATAATATTTATGTCTGGGGAGTATGGCGGCCACTCGAGCAAGTTGACATTCTGGTCCTTAATCCACTGTTTTGTAACCCGGGCTGTATGGATGGGTTCGTTGTCTTTTTGGTAAGTCCATTGAATAGGTCCAAAAATTTCGGAAAACTGGGGAAAAGCCTTGTAGACATTTGCATTCATCTTTGAGGAAACAAACTGCAGATCGCAAGTTCCATAAAACGATATGGCTCCCCAAACCATTACGCCTCCTGTACAGGAGTGATGACGACTCAAAAAGCATTCCTCTTTTCGCATATCGTGAAAATAATAGTTGTAGCTATCCGGTCCGTCGAGATTGAACTTTTTTTCGTCGGAGAAGACCACAGCCTTCCACTCCTTGTTCCATGTCATATGATCCCGCGCAAATCGAAGTCGCGCTTCCTTCCGTGCATCATTAAGAGGAGGTTTTTTTTTTTATTTTTAATCTCTTTAAGTGTTTAGCGCTCCGAATAACTCGTTTTACCGTTGCCAAACTAGCATTTACACTGCATTCATCCCTGATTTTACTGGCAGAGAGGTGGGAATTCGAAGCAGTTCGAAGGATTAGTCGCCTCTCTGATGCCGTTGTAGCATATTTTATTCCTCCTTTCATTTTTTTTCCCGTAATCGGCTTCATTACGAAGAAAATTGCTTACCACGTTTTGGCTTCGACCAATCTTCTTTGCTATTTCATTATGTTATAGGCCAGATTCAATATAACCTTTAATTTGACCTTTTTCAAAATCGGTTAAAGATTTTCCCCGACCCATATTAAAAAAAAATGGTAGCAATTACTTTAAATTTAAGTAGAAAAAATAAATTATGTTTTCAATCACGCAGTCAATCAAAAAGTGAAGTCAAAGTTGTCAAACCTAATCAGATGAGCCAAAAATAGACCACACATTTAGCGAATTTCACGATGAAAGCAAAATTCTGATTTACCGTTGCTTAGAACCCTTTACATTTTTGTTGTCATATTATGAGTAAAGAAATGAATGTTCAAAACAAAAAAGAAAGAAGGAAAAAATGCCATAGGAACAAAGAGAGAAGACAAAATAAAAGAAATATTTTTCAAACCTATTCAGTTGAGCGGCACTGTACATATGTTTGTGTTGTGTGGATGTGCGCACAAGTAGATCACGGCGTTTGTCGCGAGACAGAGATATTTTTTTCAATTGCGTGTCTTGTGTGTGTGGTAGCAAAAGGCACACACATTCAAATACTCTATCATGTATTTCTTGGTCCAGTCAGGCATAATGAGAAGAATCTGATCTATTTTCATTTAATAAACTTAAATGACTCAAATGTATTATTTATATTTTGAATTCTAATATTTTCGTTTACTGTGGGGATCTATTTTGCTGAAAATTAAAAAAAGCGAATACATATTTTATGCAAGGGTAATTCATCGTCGGCTTGTCGAAAAATTCTAAGAAAAGACCAAAACTTTAGAGTTTTCAAATTTTGCGACTTGCTACTTGTGCAAATTATCCAGTTTGGGTGTGTCGAGGTCAAAACTGTGTCCACGCGGCTTAGCTTGAGCCAGTCGGAGACTGCAATAAAGCGATGAGAACTATAATTGTTCTTATATTATGAGACACGTTGTGCTCTCTTCCAAATAAAATTAAATCTAACCTTTAACTGAACATTGGTCTTATCGTAAACCCTAAAAGTTGTGGCAAAACAGCTGGCAGCGCGGCTGGTAGAACGACGATCGGAGCTACTGGACTGCTGTCGTGGTTGTCCAAAAGTGCTGACCTAGCGGCATGTGCAAGGCATCTTGTTACGCTCGCCAGAACTGTGGCCACAGACCACTGTTTATGCAAGGCTACAACCATGTAGCAATGCAAGCACAACGGCGGATGTGAGCCGCGTGATCAGTGGATATGTTTAAGCTGCAAATATTTGGCAGCGCAAACACACAACGGCGGGTGCCCCTGGTTACTGGTTAACTGCTCCCCCTCTCAAGACATTGCCGTCCTCGGCTATGGCAATGCCCGCAATCACCTCGGTTAGCTCATGTGCTTCTCTGATCTTTCTCTGACGCCGTCTGAGAAAGGTGAAAACGCATACGATGACGAAGGTGATCAATGTTCTCAGCATGGCAATCATTGAGGTCGATCTTCCGGTGGCTTCGTCTCTGAGTTCTCTGATGTAGGCCAAGTTGTCAGAGCTTAATCGGTGTAAGAACGGCATGCTCAGAATACAATCATGCCCGGTGATGTTAAATATGGACGACATTGCAGCCCCTGGGGAACGGTATACTATTCCGATTGATTTACCGCGTCCCGTTTATGGTGGCTTCGTTGACTCGAACGTTATTAGGAAAGTGCCGTTGATTAGTAGTTCTGTAACACCATCTGTGCTCACCCTGGCCGGGCTATTGTTGATGATGATTATCCCGTCTTCGATGACTCTGACGGGGCTTAGATGGCTAGGCTGCGTTCTGCAGTGGGCTACCTCACCCGAGTGAAGTTGTTGGGCGCATGTGCTGTTCTCTGCTAGTTCGCAGAAAGTTGTCGTGGTCGAAACCGCACAGTTGGTGACCGCTATAACCTTGGTGTCGCATTCGGCCACGGTGTTATCGTGGTTAGGGAGCTGCACAGTTCTGCCGTGGTGTGCCACCGGGAATAGGGTACCTTTTTTACAGGCAGATCTAATCTTAGGGTAATTAATTATAAAATGTATAACATCTTCGGATTGTAGGATTTTGATTTTTGATACTTCTAAAATGCTAGATACAAATACTTCTATGGGTTGATTGACCAAGATTTCTTTGCTGATTCAGAATGTCCGGATTTATAGTGTTTAAATTAGCAAGCGCAATGCTTAGGAGTAAATTATTTATTTCAGTGATCAGAATTCTATTTCTTGTTAATAACAGTTCGAAGAGGTGACCTGAGTCTATTTCCTCTTTTTTGGAATATCTTAAAAGTTCGTTAACGGTATTTGTTATATTATTTATTTGAATTTGTGTTTCTTAATTAATGACAAATTGCCTATTGTTAGAGTCTATTAACCGGCTCTCTATGGTTCTAATCTGGTCTAAGTCCCTCGCATGTGGTGCCCCGGCCACAACTTTTGAAGCCGTGCCGATGAAATCTAAACTTCTTGCATTCCTGTGGTGGACTCTTAAAGCGGACAAAAGTGTCTTATGTGTTCTGTGTCTGTATCTCACAATTTCTGCATTTGTGTTAGGGGGAATAATGCCTCCAAATAACCACCTCTCCATCCACAATTGGAATATATTCAGAATGTGAACAGTCCGACACCCGAGCGTGAGCCAAAGCTACACATAGCAGTAGTAGAAGTGTTATCCTGAAATTTAACGAAGTTGGGGTAAGAACGTGCGTGCGGTACTTATTTAATATTGTCCTTATGGACTACCCTTCCCTTAATTAGGACCGATGTCCCCAGGTCCGCTTCGACCCTCTCCTCAACGAACAGGGGGGTTAGCTTGTTGCCAAGCCTTGTGTTGCTCTTTACAAGGACTCTTTCTCCTACATCGAAGGTCTTTCCCTGTCTGTTCTCGTTAACACGACTACGCTGGATTAACTGTGCCTTCTGCAACCTGTTTCTTACCTCCTGTTGTAGTTCGGCCGTGGCAGAATGAACTATGTCAATGGGTTTTTTATTTGTAACGGAATGTATAGTGCCGTTGTATAGCACGGTGGTCCTTAGAATAAGTTCTACCGTGTTGGCACTCCCGTTGTGGATCCCCAGGCCTCTTGCTAACTCGCTCAGCGTAGAGTGGAAGCGTTGCCCGTTGGACGTGCTGTGCAAAGGGGGTGCGTAACTTATGGAAACGTTGAAATGGTTTGATAGTAACGTTCGAATAGTTTCTGAGTTCAGTGCTGGTTCATTGTCGCAGTACACGGATCTAGCGTGTGGGAAGATGTTAATTAGCTGTATGAGGTTAGAGAATTTGTCTAAGCAGGTGAGGAAAAACTTCTTATTAGTCGAATATATGTCGATATGCAAAAGCTCGCCCGTGAATGAGGAAATTGGCGTTTCACCCAAGGGCTGCTTGCCCGGGTGCCTGTCATATTTGGCTTTTGCACAAACCTTGCAGTTCAGGGCCACCTCGTTTGCTAGTCTGGTTATGTTTGGAATCACCTTTGTGGTGATTTCCAGCATTTCGTCTTTACTAAAAATGTCTGCAACGAGATTCTTACAATGCTTGAACTTTGTGGCTGTGAATGCTATCACCAACTCATTCTGGGCTTGTGCCAGTACACGTAAACTGCAGTGTAAAGCATTTACAACATCTGGGCTTACTACCTCCTTTAAGACGTCGAGTAACGATTTTTTGTTTGTGAAGCTGATTAGGTGGCGCATTTTGGTCTTGAATGTCACAAATCTCTGTGTTAACGAAAATTTTGCCTCTTCAATAATGATTTGGTTTCTAAAACAGTTCAAGGGTTTGTCAGTGCACTCTATCGTATATGACAGTAATGCCTCGCTGTGTACTGTCGCCACGTCAGATTTTGCGGATTGACTTTCTAGAGCATGTAAATCTTTTCGTGATAGTGTGTCCGCGACGTGGTTCTCTTTGCCAGGCTTGTAAAAGACGTTATCATTGTGTTCGTCAATAAACGCCTTCCTACGCTTAATCTTGGTATTTTGGTTTATTTCCGAAACCGCATATGCAAGTGGTTGGTGGTCGGTAAATATATTCATGCCCTTTGCTCCGTACAGGTAGTCGCGGAGTTTTTCCAAGGCCCAGACAATCGCAAGTAATTCTCGCTCGTTTGTCGCGTAGTTGACTTCCCTATCTTTTAGGGTCCTCGAGATCATTGTTATCGGACGACCGTTTTGATAGAAAACTGCCCTTACGCCATGACTTGAGGCGTCTGTTGTTAAATCAAATGGCGCTTTAAAGTCAAGGTAAAGTTACATGACGTCTTCCGACGCCAAAATATTTCTTATCTTATCAAATGAGTGCCTTTGCGCCTCGTTTAGTTCAATCGGAATTTTTCTCGATCGGTGCTTGCTGACGGAGCCAATTTCTAATTTCAAAATATTGGACAACGGACTCGCAATGGATGCAAAGTCTTTTACAAAGCATCTGTAATAGCTGGCGAGTCCCAAAAAGGACCTTACCGCGAACAAATTCTTACGCTCAGCATACTCTTGTATGGCTTTTACCTTTTCGGGGTCAGTTATTGCACCCTTCCAAAAGGAAGTCGACAGAATTCGTTCTTCCCTCCGTTTACAGAAAATGAAGTTTTTTCACGGTCCTTTTCTGCCAAGACTATCTGGTGGTAACCAGACTTCAAGTCTAATGTGGTAAAATATTTTGCCCGACCCAGATTTGCTAAAATCATGGATATGTCCGGCATTGGGTACTTGTCGTCTATCGTTTGTTCGTTAAGTTTCCTGAAGTCCACAACTAACCTTTTCTTTTTTTCCCCAAGCTCGTCCACGCCATTTTTATCTACAACCCACAACGGGTTGTTATAAGGTGACCTTGACTTTCTGATGATGCCGTCTTTAAGGAGTTGTTCCATCTCCTTGGCAACGAAGTCTGCTTCACCCATAGGATATGGGTACAACTTTGTATAAATAGGTGACTCATTTGTAGTTCTAATCGTGGCAATAACAGCCGTATTGTAAGGCAACGATTCGTTTGGGCTTGCAAAAACCTTGGCCTTTGCAGTTAGAACTTTTTCAAATTGAGCCTTGACATTGGGGGGTACCTCTAAGTCTTTTAATTTCGTGAAGTTAACATCTTTGCACTGATAGTACAAGATTTGTTCTGAGCCAGTGCTGAAATTGATTTTGACATCCTTTAAATCGAGTGTTGCCTGTACCTGTGTTTACAGGTCGAGGCCAATTAACCCGTCAAATGTGGATAAGCTACTTAGGAGAAAAAATGGAGTTGTCACCCAAAATATGGGTAAAAAAACTTTTTCTCGGATAGTATCGGAGCCAGGAATGGAATTTACGGTAAATGGTTTCTGAGTGGGACCTACCTCTTTTAATTCTCTACGCGGTTTAATGTAATTTGTTGAACCCCAGTGTCTATTAAAAATTTAAATGTTTTCCCCGCAACTTCCTTTTGTATGAAAGGCAGCAGGAACCTTCCCCTAAAAAATTGACGCAGTCAGTATCGCAGTCTAAATTTAGAGGAGGTATCGACCTTCATTGGGTCCGGTCCCTGGTTACTGGCTACCTCCTTGTCCACCCTGCCTTGCGTCGGCTGGGCTTTTGGTATAGCCAGAGGCGGCTGCTGCACCCCTTTGTTCCTGCTGCCTGGCTGACCTGGCCTGAAGCTTTTGATCCTCTCTGCTGGTTTTTGTCCTCTAA